TTAAATTTAATATATACTACTATAACGATACATAATTAAACCTAATATAATACTTAATATTATGAAGGACAATTTAAAGTATTATGAACCAATTAATATAATTACATTAATGTCACAACATAACCCCTCCCTTTTGACGTTGATGTATTACATTATAAACATTTCGTATGCGCCGTGATATAATTCCTAATGGTATAATCTTTATGATTTTTTTTAAATATTTTTTTTTATTTTTCCATTCTATTCTATTAGTGTTTACATTGTTTAAATTCTAGAATGACTTCTCATATTATCAATCTTATATGTAATATTGTTTTATTGTTAACTTTTCTATAAACATTTATTGATCACCAAAAGGCCATTTTCCCTATATACATAATATAAATTATCTCCAATCCTTCCACATAAATATTTTGTCTGCAATTTCTCTGGTACTGAAATCTGAATTCTAAAGTTCTGGTAAATCTCGTTTCTCAGCTTGTTGGTACACCCTAACCTCGTACAATATAGTAATTTGATCGATTTTCATAGGTCAAAATCTCGTATAAACTTTGGTGAAAATGTTCTTGCACTAAAGACCAAAATTGTCGTATTTGTATTGGATTCTCGTAAAGTGTTAAGGTTATTGACATCAAAAGTTGGGAACCACGTTCACCTATTATCGTTGGTGTAATGATGATAAGCGTCCAGAAGCAACTAAAGGTCAAACGTCATTAAAACCTGTTTTAGATTGGACATGCATAGAAATAGACAATGCATATAGATATCGCACACACATAATAACAGAATAATATAGTCCTTGAAAACGACGTCTTTGTGACAGACTCGACTCATTGGTTTTGCGGGGAAACATTGCATCTCAATGCACTTTCTACTATAGTGTTCTGAGGAATTGTTCGGATTAGTACCATCTCCTGAATTTCACCATCTTACTACCCGCCAGAAATTAAAATTCCATCCTGATCATCTGGGTGAATGGCGCTCCTCCACAGTGCAGTTTTCCAGAAACTTTTTGCCACACACAACCACACCGTAGTCACTTTCAGTCACAATCAGTCAGCAAAAGTATTTCAGAACCGATATGATATTGAGCTGTCACGAAAAGAGCGTATTTTTGTTAAAAAATCAGCAACGCATTTTCAAATTCCAAAATAGACTTTGAATTTTGCTCTGTCTAGCCTATTTCAGACGCCAAGCAAGTCAGTTCAGGCTGTCGCTTGCAGGATGAGTTTAAAACTTGAAATTATAGTGTCATAGCTCCATGAAATTTTGGTTCTTTGGAATGGCAACGACTGAGGGATCCCCCATCCATACATATTCGTAATGTTATTCATTTAAGTATTCTGTATAGGCGACGGTTACCAATCACCAGCAAGTGGGCCATTCTATTTTACATAAAAAATGTTTGTTCATGATCAACTACTAATTTATCGAGTTTTAGCTACTTAGTAGTTAAAATTAGCATTATTAGTTAAAATCTAAAGTTTGCTACTATTTTGAACCTTACAATCCAGTTTAGTTGTAATCGATATAATAATTTATTTCATATGTAATAAAGATTCTCCATATCTTTTCGAATGCGGTAACCAATTCAATGCTTTGATGTTTTTTTTTCTTTGTTCGTTAAACTATTCTCGACATTAACGGCTCCTATTGAGGGCTCAAAATTGCCTCACATACTACAATACATGCAATTGCGACATCTATTCATCTATTACCTAATTCTATCTCAGTGGACCGTACTTAGCTCTATTGCAATATAAATTGAATGATTGGAAGTCACGTGAACTTATCTCACTATAAATAAAAAATTGCTCTTTGTTAAACTATTTATATGACGTTAGGTTAAGAGTAGGTAGAACGACACTGTCACTAGCGTATCAGTATTTAAGTCATCATCATCGTCATCACCACTACCACCACCACCACCATCATCATCATAATCATTTTATTTAGGCACTTTAATGCACCAGATACAGAAATGTATTAATTAATAGAATAAAATACAAGTTCATAAATTACTAGAATCTACAAAAGGAGATCTTATCGCTAAGCAATCTATCATCATCATCATCATCATCATTATCATGATCATCATCATCCCATCATTATACCACTACTGTTTTGCCACTGTACATTTATAATTGATATGGTATCATCATTCCGTCGTCATAAAAAACATCTCGCGCACATACTACGTACTATCAGTACGTATGTTGTTTATTCTCTGACGTGTTTATTCAATAGTCTGGTACAAGTGTTAAGAGAAAAGCTGTATATAAATAATATTTTAATTATTAAGAATTAACAATAAATATTTTGTGTTAACTTACGTATTATAGTCCTTAAACGCAATTCGAAAAAGTGTAAAAAAGACGCCTTTTAAGATATAACATAAAAAATAACAATAAAATATAAGACGGAAGATAATTACTAAATAAAATCCGTAGTGCTCCAATACCAATTCAAAAAGTGTGACAATTTTTATAAAAATTATTTTAGAAATTTTATAATCTTATCATTTTCTTGGTAGCTTAGTAACCATAGGTAGGTCTTTCAAATTATTTTTCTCTATAATTTAAATTAATGAAAACGTAATCAAAAATACTCGGTTTAATATTCCTTACCTTGAAGTACTCTACCATCTTGCATCATGTACAACATTACAAAACTTCAACTCTTTCGATCGATCGTGTCTTTCTAACGAGGTTTGTAATTATGACTAAAGTTAGATCTATCAGCCGCTCTATAAATCCTTCCTCGTGATTGGCGTGCCCATTGCATTCGGGACCATTTTCGTTAAGTAAAGCTACAAAGTCAGTCCAATGAAAAAAACGAAATATCCAAAAAATATCAAAAGGAAATATTTTATCTATACATATAAATAAAATTGGTAAAATTGAATATTGAAATATTCATTTGTAATATTGAAATAACTGTTTTTTACATGTATTTATGCCTGTAGCATATGAATATAAATACGGTACATACACCAAAATAACATTTTTTACAATTTTTGGTCTGTCTGTCTCTCTGTTTGTTCCGGCTAATCTCTGAAATGGTTGGTCCGATTTTGGCAGGTAGCTGATGTATAAGGAGTAACTTAGGCTATTTTTATTTTAGAAAAATAAAGTTAAATTCCACGCGTCGAATTCGCGGGTACAACTAATTTGAAAATAAAATTTGTTTACCACCCGCTATCTCTCATGTCTTGCGTCGCTCACTATACGTAACAATAGGTGAGCTCCGGATGACACTTGTTGCGATTTCGCGATTGCTGTTGATTGCCCTCAGTTCCTATTACTCTGTGCTCACAGAAACACGTCTCAAGTACATCGCAATATTGAAGTTTATTATTCAGCAGTCATAAACATTTCGCTGGAACTGTGCTATTTAATTATTTAATCAGTGGTCTTAAACATTTTACTGGAAGTGTACGATTATTATTAAATTTCTATTAATTATTAGTTTTGTAGGTATTACTTTTAATTTAATTTGAGAATATACTGAATTACTTTCACAAGAAATAAAAGTGGTTATTGTTATTGTGAGTATATTTATATGGTTGATGATGGAATGGTGGGAGGTGATCAAGTGATCATGTGGTGGATAATAGTATGATAGTATGATTTATACACAGCCGGGTTACCAATGGAGAATGATAAGGTGAACATGAGGTCAGGTCAGTTAGCCCATCGTGAAAAATTCACTTGGAATTTGTCATGATGGTCTCCAGGGGGAACCGCATGGTACATTACTAGTAATATGGGTATTAGTCCACAATACTACCAATTCCTTTTCCTCCTATAGGATGATCTTGAAGTCAGATCAGTTAGCCCATTGTGGTGAATTCACAAAATTATGCTGATATTTGTCGGCGCACGCACCCGGGTCGTACTCGGGCGAATCCGGGAGAGTCTACTAGTCATACTAATATTATGTACGTGGAAGTTTTTAAGTGTGGATGGATGGATGTTTATTACTATTTCACACAAAATTTACTGAATGGATTTTAATGAAACTTTACAATAATATAGCTTATACATCAGAATAACACAGGCTGTAAATTATACTCGGATGTAGCCGAGGGCACATCTAGTTAAAAATAATCGTAGAGATATGACAATGGTTAATTTTGATAGGTATGTAATTAACAAATTATTTGCTTTAATATAATTAGCTAAATATATAGCAGTGGTTTTCTATTATACTCGTATATATTTTTTATCCTATTAAATAACATGACTACCAATCTACCATGTTCCCCCTCTTCTACAGTCCATCGTGGTTAATTAGCCACAATGAGCTAACTGATTCGAGTCCTGGCACGGTACAAGCATTTGTATTGATGAGTATGATTGTTTATATTGTTCTGGATGTTTTCTATGTATATTATGTATTGGTATCAGTTTAGTACCCATAACACAAGCTCTACTTTGCTTGGAAGTAGATGGCACCGTGTGAGTTTTCCAACATTTTGTTATGATTATTATTATAATCGAAATAAAGTAGTTTAATATGATTATTTTTTGTGAATCTTATTTCTTACGTAATTTAATTAATTTAAATTATATTTTCTACTTGTTTAATTAGATGTTTATCAATTATTACAGCTGGTGACAAAGTTTTCTTACAATATTAGTAATGTTAAAGTTTGTAATATAAATAATATGTGGACTCTAGCAATTTACTGTCAAGTTGACCTCCTAATATATAGATAAATTTCATGGTGACTTCGTCACGATGGGCTAACTTACCTGACCTCATGCTCATATCCTAGCAACCTCCACTGGTGGCCTGCAAGCGTAAACGTTAGCGCAGGCTGGTGCACCATTCCATAATCATCCATAGAAAAAAAAACTAACACATTTTCCCTCTAGATGCGGTATAAGATTTTACACGTAAAGACTCGAAATATCCTATGTTCTAACGGGTGGGAAACTATGACGCTGGTAGTGAGTTCGATTCCTTTAATTAATTAATATCTTTGTTTGTTACAGATCCAACTTAGGCATGGTTGATGCGAGCTAGTCTACCAATACAGCCATACCACCCAAAATGACATCCCGTCCATTCAGAAGGAAGCCGTTCAAAATCTTAAGCACATATTTGAACACGTAAACTGGACCCTAATGTGGTACCCTTAAAAACCAAAGTCCATTAAGACTAAAACTCCTAGTGATATATAGTGAAGTTCCTTCATTTTGAGTGATATTAGATTTAAGGTGATAAAGTGATATTATGAATATGCTGTCGATAAAGTGTAGTGTGATGAAGGTGTGGTGCTTGTTGGTGTTTGTAAAGATTGTGGGAGGGGACCGGAGCAGCCTCCCCCCTACTTGTGATAGGTGAGTTCTTCAACATATATTTACAGCAAAATAGTTCTACTTTTATATCCGATGGTGGCGAGTTTGATTCTTCCCGCGATGCAGATATTTGTATTTAAGGCCCTGTTGGTCTAGCTGTTTAGCATAGCCTTAACTTTCGATGGTTTCCAGTTCTATTCCTCGCATGATGCAGATATACATATGTATTCAAAATTAAAGTACGTCAAAGCTACGTAAAAACTGTAAAATTGAACCAACCATTGTGGAAGGAAATAACATCTGTAACACAGGGATTCCCTAGCACAGATGTTACGGCCTATAAATTACTGACATTGTGTAAAAAAATGAATAAATATATTATTATATATATTATTATTATTCAGGAGTATGATTTGGTCTGGGTATTTTCTATGTATATTATATATAAAAAAAAATATTTATGAACGTGTATTTCTGTCAAGCTCTGCATGGTTTGGGGCTGTGTGAGTTGTCAAGGGTTATTATTATTATTTCTTTATATATGATGGGGTAATAGACTTATCATTGCGGGTAAAAATCACCAAACAATGACAGTATAAATGATGATTGATGAGTATGTATAATTTTTAAGCGGAAGACAAACATTTGCGGACTATTCTACAAGTGTTCAGTATTACAGCTTTTTGGAGAAGTATGAAAGTAAGTGGGTAAAGTTGTAATATCTTGAGGCTAGTGTGTAGGGATGTTGGGATGATTATTATCATTATTATTATTATGTATGTATTGTATGTATATACCGGCTCAGAACTGCCAATAATTTCTCTTGTCAAGCGTGTGGTGGGCCATGCCGCTCTCGTATTGGTTATCACAGCCACGAAAAGAGCTGAAACGACGCATAGGCCCTTATATATACATAAAACAAATAGTGTTTCTATCAGATGTACTCATAACACAAGCTCTGCTTAGCTTGGTCTAGATAGTTCTGTCTGAATTTTATTATTATTTAAACCTATTCGCTATGCTATTCTCGCGTTTTACAAACTTATAAAATTTTAATAAGTATGATTGTATATCTCGGTGTTATGTTAGCTATATATATTATGTATATACATATTATATATATTATGACTTACGTATTTACAAGAAACAATGGGTAACGGCTACCATTGGATACTTTGAAAACCCTCAGTCCAGAAATTCGACACTAATTATTGTTAGGCATTTAGAAGCTATTTTATTAAGCTACAGGTTCTTTCCCTGTTGGTTAAAGTATTAATATTAATGAATTTAAAACAATATCACCAGAATATGGTCTTTGTACCATTATTTAATGGTTATGTAAATTACATTGTTTTTTAAATAGGACAATGACAATAAATTATTTTAATTGTAGTCATATCTTAGTAATATAATAAAACATTAAAAGTTTGTTGTATGGATGGATGTTTGGTACTCTTTCACGCAATAACTACTGAACAGATTTTGATGAAACTTTACAGTAATATAGCTCATACATCAGAATAACATATAGGCTATAAATCTCACGCGGGTGAAACCGCGGGCACAGCTAGTTTTTTTATAAACATTTCTGATAAAACAAATCATCTATTTCGTCATAAATTAAATTGAATATATCTTAAATCCTTGCTATACATTATCGCTTGTATGATATGCGAATTATTTTATGAAGTCAGAATAATCCCCATTAATATTATTACTATATAAATGTCACAGTAAGCTTGTTTGTGTCACCTTTAACCTACCCTTACCATTAGGTGAGCCGCAAGATCATTTGTCTCCTATGCTATAAAAAATGTATGTATACAAGTATGACCTGGTGTTAACCTATTTGAATAAGACCTTATGCTAATCGCTGATAATGATCTGTCTATTGATGAAAAAAATTTTTATCGACCATGTATTTTTTTTATTCATACAGAAGAAACAATCATTAATTTTTTTATTTATGTTCATACTTTGCTGAAAGATACGACTTGAACAAAACTACAAATAAACTAGTTACATATAAAAATCAGTAGAAACCGGATGTAGTTGTGTCTACAGACGGCCTTGCGCCTGAACAAGCATTGTACAGTAGAATTAACTGTGTAAATAGTTATTTATTAAATGCCAACGAACCTAAACGTCGTTTCCGGTGCAATAGTTGAGCTGCGAATCTGTAACAATTCATGATTTGAAGTACAAAATATACTGTTTTTAATGGATGATAGTGGAATGGTGAACCCGTCTGACCGCCACGAATGGTGCAATGGTCACTAATAGAGAAGGTCATAACGCTTCTCGTAGTGGTGGTCAGGTTCTGACACTAAATATTTGTGGTCTCTCATATGCTAATGGTAGCGGAGTTCGATTAAACAAAATATAAATTAAGTTAACGTGAAATAGGTCACCTTTCATCCTCTTCAACAAGACAAGACTACAATCCCCTTTCTATCATCTTTCACTGGTGAGCCAAATAGATTTTTTTATGGATGTTAATGGAATGATGCATCCGTTTACGCTAACGGTTCTGGCGAGGCACCAGTGGAGGGTGATAAAATGAGCATGAAGTCAGGTCTGATAACCCATTTTTGCAAATGGCAAACCACGTTTCCAGGGAGCGCCGCGCGGAGGTCAACCTGACAGTACAGCGATGGGATTACTCCACGTTACTTATCCTCCTCCAGAGGATAAGTTCTCCGGAGGAGAGGAGGAGGACTCCTCCCTTCCCTCTCTTCATATAGTAGGTACTAAATGACAGATGGGATGTAAGTCATAACGTTAATGCAATTGTATACAACAGTCCATATGCATCCATTAAAAACAGTACACAACAACAACTTTTTTCGGGCTACTCTAATGCTGTTGGTCGCAGCTGGCCATACAGCTTCACCGGACGATAGGGGCCGAGTGCAGATGGCACTCCAAACTCGCGGAAGGACGTTTGGAGCGGCTGAATGCTAACTCCCATCAGACGGATACGACTGTAAGTCTGAGGGCACCGCTAGGGGTTCGAACCTTGGCTCAGGCCGTCGTTACATAGGTTCTAACTTTAGTCCTACAATACTATGACAAGAATTGTTATCGGCATTCAGACACAGTCATGCTAGGTTGGTGTTTCTCCCGAAATTTAGAAGGAATTTATGGCGAGGAATTAAAATTTAGTAAAAAAATGTGTTATGGCGAAAAAATCACCAGTTGGTGTATTTTGGGATGCTTATTGTCATCCATCCAATAAGCTTTCTAACTAAAACCTACATGAATGTGAGCCAGTAGCAGCCGAAAAATAGAGATAAAGAACATAGATTATTAATGGACATATAGTGTAGATGAATATATAAAGCTACCAGTGTATTAAAACATATATATTACAAATTAATTAAATAAGCGACAAAAAAAAACAGCACAACAGATCCGAGAAACGATCCACAAAAAATAAGGATAATCTGTCAAATTAAAAAGGTCCTCAGAACACGTTGGGCATTTTAATTTTGATGATTTGAGGGGATTTTAGAGAACATTTTAATCTGGCAACAGTGAGGGTACAACGCGTCTCAAAGTAAACAAATCCTACTGACACTAGACGTGGTCTGTTACCATGTTGTGTGTATGCACGTCTGTTAGAAGCAGCTGGTTTCAACTGGTTTATGACGTATTGTCTACATCTGTACGTAGCCAGCTTGCCGTAATGTGATTCAATTATGAGATTGTTCATAATGATATGACGTCATGATGATGGTTCATTCATTCACACAAATTCATGTTATGAGAGACTGGTTTAAAGTACTTGCTTTACCATTCCATATATAAATTAAATATATTAGTATTTTTTTTATTTCTTTATTTATTTTGAAACATATATAGTTTATTATATTATATATTGGACCCCGCACTAGCCGAACCTGTATCGCCGGAGTCCACAAAAGAATTACCAGATGTTAATAACTATTACAGATCAGCGAGTAGAGTACATTTGACATATCAAAAGAGACTGTAATAGACCGACACGAATATAGAAATTTTAATTTGATTTCATACAAAAAAAAATCCAGATCCATTGTACATTACATAAAGTGATAATTTTATTTAATAATGATAATATCTCAGGACATCTCATACAGCGTCATCTAGTCCCAAGTTAAGCAGAGCTTGTCTTATGGGTATTTGATAACTGATATAAAGACATCGACATAGAAAACACCCAGACCAATACAAACAGTCATACCGTGAATACAAATGTTTGTACCGTTCGAGGATTCAAACCCGCACCATCGGAACTAAGCGGTGTACTAAACCACTAGACCACCGAGGCTGTAAGTATTTAATCACTGTATTGTCTTAATTGCAGTCTGATCTACTGCCACGGACCGCTGTTAGACACGGTCCAGATGGCCGGCCTGTACAATGATTCCAAGACCTTCGTGGATATGAAGATAAAAATATCCCCAAATATAACGATGGAGCATTTCAGAGAATTGATGAACAGGTAATCACTTGATTTCACTTAGTTTTTTTAATATTACAAATATGAATGCAGAACAAAACTCTTTTCAGCGATAAGGCGGCCCATTGGTGCCTCTTTGTTTTGCTCATATACATTAGCTATTAATATATACATAATAGTGTATCTGTTTTCCTAATTGTTACCTTTTTATGACTATATGCCTTTAATTTTTGATAGGACAACTTTTATCTCAAAAATTGCGAAAGTCATGTGCAACAGCTTGTATTAGATCTATGTGTAACGCACTGATCTATTCTTGGAATGGCAAAGAAGCTGACGGTCCACCTGATTGAAACTGAGACTACTATCGTCTACATGAACAGCTCTACAGGCATCACGTTATCATGTAACGACTGTGATACTACTCATGCGTTGCCATTCCGGAAAACTGCAATGTCAATTCTCTTGTCCTCTTATTTCATTTAATTTGTCTCTAATTTCACTGCATAATCTGCACTTTACAACCGAAATAGTAAAGCAAGCTGCTTAAAGGCAGCTGAAAGTACCCACGCAGGCGACTTTTTGCAGTCTACCTCTAGAAAATACGTCAATAGTGATGTTTATTATATAATACTGTATTTTTTCAGGACAGGTTCCCAACCGACGAAGGCTGATATCCTGCAATTTGTGAATGACAACTTCGATCCTGCAGGATCAGAGTTCGAGGATTGGAGACCTCTTGATTGGAAGAATAACCCTGGTATAGCATTTATTTTTACTGTTACATATTCACTTGTATTTTGACTTGTGTGTGCTGTGACAAGAATGGACAAGATAAAGAATGAATACATCAGTATAAGTATGAAAGTAGTGCCAGTATTGAAATAGTCGAAGAGTAATCGTTTGTCTTGGGATGGGCATGTGATGCGTAGTAATATAGGTATTTTAAAGGAAAACAGTGACGGTAGAGGAAGGTCTAAAAAGAGATGGATGGACTTGTGTGAAAGATGATGTGTATAAATGGAGATCAGTAGAAGAAGATGACAAACTGCGCCGGCTTAGAATAACGGTATGAGAGCAAAGCAATGAATTAATTACAGAAAGTGAATAGAAATGAACACGACATTTTGGCGCCGATCCTAATATTAGATAAAATAAGATAGAATAAATAGCTAATATTCTTAATAAGCTAATATTCTTTATATAAAAGAATAATAGGTGGGTATATATATGGATTATGCTATATGAAGTACTAGCTGCCGAAGTCGTCTGCATTTTTCCCGTTTTTGCAACATTACAGCTCCACTCTTATGCGTTGTAGTGTGACGTTATATAGTCTATAGCCTTCTGGGATAAATGGGCTATCCAACACTAAATATTTGCTAATATCGATTATGTAGTACCGGAGATTACTCCGAACATACTAACTTCTCTTTATATATTATCGCTAATGGTATATGTAAGTGACATTGACCAGTAACCCATTCTTCCACAGCATTTCTTGAAAGAATTAAGGACCCCCTTCTCCACAAATGGGCGTCTCAACTGAATGAACTGTGGTTGAAACTCGGCAGAAAGATGAAAGAAGAAGTGAAGCAACACCAGGAGTTATACTCAATTATATACGTGGACAACCCTGTTATTGTACCAGGTAAGGATGTAATTTCAATGCCTCCTGAATTAGTGGATACCAACGTGAGTTTTAAATATCTAATCAGTCGGTTTAAATCTGATTGATGATGATAAAAAATAATATTACTTCAAATAAAAATGTATAAACTAAAAATAAATTTATTTCTATTTATCTATGTCTTCATTATAACTATTTCATTAATATATAATATTTGTTAATGTACTATTAGGCTGAAAATCAGTTTTAAATTACAAGTAGGAGTCCTATACGGAGAAAAGGAACGGCGGGATATTTTTATTGGATCGATTCGAATGGTGACTATTTCAAAGTCAAACGAGTGAAAAAATAATAAATAACGTCTTTTATATATTTTTATTATCGTAAAATTAGCTTTAAATATATTTTGTTAATATATTTTTAATTTAGTTAAAATATTTTTCGAAAAACAACAACTTACAACAACAATTTTTAATTTGGATTTCGACTTTTTGGATTTAGACCACTGTTAAACTAGGGGCATCGCAGGTCTAACTTTAGACCATAGACGAATCACGATTTTGAGATAAACTTCATTTTGTAATAAGGAATACATTGGTGAATGGTTTATTACTAGTGCTAAACCAGGTTTATCTTTTTGTAATAAGGCCGTTAGGGCTCATCCAAACCATAGGTTAGGTTTTTAGTCCATAGATTCGATAATTTTTATATTGTCTTCTAGGTGGTCGCTTCCGAGAGTTCTATTACTGGGACTCGTACTGGATCATCAAGGGTCTGCTGCTGTCGGAAATGAGTGATACAGCCAAAGGGATGGTATCCAACTTCTTAGATGTTGTTGACAGGATAGGGTTCATTCCTAACGGTGGCAGAATATACTATGCCATGAGGTGAGCCTTGTTATGACGTTTGTTTGCTTATTATTTGTATATATTTATTTGCAAATCATTATCTCTTATCATTACGGCCTCGTTGGTCTATCGGATTAGCACACCGCCTTAATTGTAATAGCGCGGGGTTCGATTTTTCGCAGTGTGTAATTGTTTTCTTGGACTGGATGTTTGCAACGTATATTATTTATGTATCCACACATACCTACATCTTTTATGTAGGTATTTAAGTATTTCTAATAGTTGTTTAGTACCCATAACATAAGCTCTACTGAGCTTGGAACTGTGTCATTATTATTATTTTAATAACTTACAAAAATGATTTACTAATCATTCATTAGTGTATTAATATATTACCTGCAACTTCGTCTGTTTTTTTTTAATTATTGTTATTTAATAAGAACAGACATAACTACCGTCCGATAGTCTATGTACGCTTTTGTATTACAAACTTAAATTCTTAAAACTACATACATATTTTCAATAGCTATGAAATTGGTCTTGTCGTCATTGTTTTTTTTAACGATTAATTTTTATTTTTCTCCAGATCTCAACCCCCTCTCCTGATACCAATGATGCAGCTAATAATGGAAGAATTGGATGATGAGGAGTTCCTCCGGAAACACTTACACACTTTGGATAAGGAGTTCGACTTTTGGATCACCAATCATACTGTCGAAGTGGAGCATAACGGCAATATGTAAGTTCATTACCACAAACCTTTATTCATGAGAGTTTAATATATATTATTTATTTTATTAAATAGGTTTTAACTTCGAGAAACGTAAAATACTTTTATTTACCATAAAAGCCTGAATCAAACAAATAAATAAAATAAAACTATTCGTGTTAAAACCCAGTTAATAATATAAATAACAGCTTATTTGCCATTCCGATTACATTAAAATGTCAACAAATACAAAAGCATATAATTATTCAAATTTCATACATGGTATATCTATATATTAATACATGTATACAAAACTTTATTCGCCTTTTTACAAAAATTGTGCGGACTGTATTATATGAAATTTTGCAAAATTATAGTTTACTGTCCCGGAAAACGTTGTTTTGCTTTAAAATAAAAAAAAATTAGGGGTGGACCACCCCTAACATTTTGGGGGATGAAAAATAGATGTTGGCCGATTCTCAGACCTACTCAATACGCTCACAAAATTTCATGAGAATCGGTCAAGTCATTTCGGAAGAGTATGGGAACGAAAACTGTGACACGAGAACTTTATATATAAGATATGAAGATGGAGTAGAATCTTAATATTTTTTGTTATAATTATGCTTAAAAATACATTAAATAAATAAAAAGATCACACACACTGTGTTTGACATGTGTTTGACACACACACATATATATATATATACTCTTTTGATTTTTGTTTGTCTGTGGTCAAATTGAGAATAGATTAATATCGATTATCTTTAATATTATTTATCTATAGTCTTACTGAATGTTAAATCATTTATTGTCGGTTTTCGACCACTGGGCGACCACTAGTAGTAAATTAGATAAATGTATGTTACAGGTATAAATTGTCAAGATTCATCGACCAGTCACAAGGTCCTAGGCCCGAGAGTTACAAAGAAGACATCGACTGTGCTAAGTATGTTAAAATATTTATTTCTTTATTTATTGTTTCGCACACAAAATGGTATACAAGTCGGATTTAATGCCTGATGGCATTCTCTACCAGTCAACCGTCTCGTTGATCAGAGATAATATCTATAAATATATCTTTTATTCTGTTATTTTTAAATTTATTATGCAGTTTTTTTTATATACGTATATAGCTGGATTTCATAGGAATTGGAAATTCTTAGGCTCCCAATGCCATTAGATACAGCGAAAGTTTTTAACAGATTAAAAAAGAATTCAAAATTCAAAATGTCTTTATTCATGTAGGTCTATTACAGACTTATGATATATTAAATCTACCATATATTATACGTCTATATATTTATTATTAATTACACGCCTCTTGTATACCTATATTATATTTATACAAATAAAACCATAAACACACCCTCATATACCCTTATTTCCTGATATGGTAATTACATGATTTCTCTTCAGGCATTTTGATACGTTCGATAAGAAAGAAGAGTTCTACGCTGAACTAAAGGCTGCAGCGGAATCTGGTTGGGATTTCTCCACCAGGTGGTTTATTTTGAATGGAACTAACAAAGGTGGGTTTATTTAAAGTGTATCTTAATCGAGCCAACTTATCAGTTTTATGAATGAATGAATAATAATAACCCGTGACAATTCATACAACGCCATCTAGTTTCATGCTAAGCAGAGCTTGTGTTATGGGTATTAGACTAGTTGTCTAATACCCATATAAATACATAGATATTTTTTTATAAAACATATAAGTATACAATCCAGACCATAGAAAAATCCAGACCGATACAAGCAATCGTACTCATAAATACAAAATGTTTGTATCATGTGAGGAATCTAACCTGCGACCATCGGAAGTAAAGCTGGTAGACCACCGAGCTGTCCAATTAATAACGATATTATTTTTTCGAAAATAATATCGTGTATTTTTAATTGTAAATAAAAACATAGTACGCACCTATATATATATATATAGAAGCTATATTCACGCGGGTAGCGTGTGGCGCACGATTAGTTAACAAAAATTAATTCTAATATTTTGTTTATATTTTACAGGTAATCTCACAAACCTAAAGACCCGCTCCATAATACCAGTGGACCTGAATTCTATAATGTCCTGGAACGCCAAATTGTTACAAGACTTCCACAGGCGCGTCGGGAACGTGGCCAAAGCGGAGTATTATAGAGTAGTGTACGAGAGATACATGGAGGCTATCGAAAAGGTAAATCTATATATTTGTTAGAAAATTGAATCCAAATATGCTTAGCTCACTTACTCACCCCAGCAGTGTGTCCGGGTAATGAGCATATGCTCAAGGCCGGTACCCGGCAGCCCAAATGGGCCCGCGGAAGAACCCCCTGTATGTATATGCTAGGCCGCAAGCATATTTGCATTCAATTCTTTGACTATAGTCCCTAAGTAGTCTATGGACTCCTAGACTATGTACTGTATCTATTATATGTGCAGGATTTCTTAAAGCTATGGGAGAACATATTGTAAGTTAAGACTTCAAGTTGTCGATCATACTAAACACTAACTAGGTGAATGTGAAGATTCTTCTCTCGCTCTTATTTTGACAATAGATAACGCTCTTATTTGTCCAGGATATTTTTTTATGATAATCTTTATTATATATAAAGTAAGCAGTACAGTCATTGAATTATGAGTTCTCATGAAACTCCACCTTATAAAAATTATGACGTATCGTACATAAGTCTGGATGTTATTATTTATTTATTTGTAAACTCTATTGCACCAATAGAATTAATACATAAGAATTATACAGAAAAGAGATATGGAAGTACAAAAGGCGGTCTTATCGCTAGAGGCAATCTCTTCCAGACAACCGACAGATGTAGTGTACCCATAAAAATCTTCTCACCAGGTTTTATGGCATGAGGACGTGGGAGTTTGGCTGGATTTCAGCCTGGAGTCAGGCAGACCTCGGGACTACTTCTACCCAAGCAACTTAGCACCATTATGGACTGGCAGCTACGATAAAACAAGAAAGGAATACTATGTGAATAGGGTCATGAATTATTTGGACAAAGTTAAGGTGTGTATAGGTTTTTATCCTTAAATATTAGCTAGTTCTGACGTATTGCTGTCATAATCGGTCCAGCCATTTCAAAGATTAGCCGGAACAAATAGGCATACAGACAGACTGCTCTTGCTCATCTTTTCGTAGTGCTTTCCAAATTGATAATCCAAAGAAATAATCAGTCTTTTTAAGTAGTCACCATCATAATAAATTTCTGGTGATTTTTCCACGATGGGGTGACCTGACCTCATACTCATCACCAGGGGCACCAGTGGAAGATGATATCTTCCACTTGTGCCCCGCCCGCGTATACCGCTAGCGTATAGGGGTGCACTATTCCGTTATCATCTTTACATAGTATAAAACTAAGTCACTGCATCTGTCTGTTCGCTTATATCTTTTAAATTATGCAACAGAGTTTAATGTAATTTTCAACAATAGATAGAATGATTCAAGAGGAAGGTTTATATGTATAAAACATACGTGTCGTAGTATAGTACAAGGCAAAAATAAGATATTTGTAATCCTTGTCTTTGATGGATTACAACTCGCTTGTTATAAATAAAACCCTTCTGTCCAAATCCGATTCACACTTGACCGATTTTTATCTCAGGTGGATAATTACGAAGGTGGAATTCCAGCGACGTTTGAGCATTCGGGTGAACAGTGGGACTACCCTAATGCCTGGCCACCACTACAGTATATTGTGGTGATGGGCCTTGCCAACACCGGTCTCCCTGATGCTACGAGATACGCCAACGAAATTGCCACAAAGTGGGTCCGGTCCAACTTTGAAGTGTGGAAGAAGAATGCAGCTATGTTAGAAAAGGTAATATCTTTATTTGATGGCCTTTGTAGTCTAACGGCTTAGCACAGTCTTACTTTCCGATTGTCGCAGATTCGAATATTCGCACAGTATGATTGTTTGTATTAGTCTAGGTGTTTCATATGTATATTATGTATGTATGTACAGAAATATAATTGTATCAGTAGTAATTGCAAAAGTACTTGTATCAGTTGCCTAGTACCCATAACACCAGCTCTGCTTACTAAATGAAGGTCTAGCTGCTAGACAAACCCATGTTGCTTAGTTGTGGAACTAAGAAATTGAAACATTTATAATTAATAATATTGTTAATAGGTCAATGTTTTAATTATTTGTTTTTATAATAAATGATATAGGTACATTATTTATGTCGTAGTTATAATTAAAGGGATATGATAATTTTATTATATACTAGTTATTACCTATGAATTTGTCCATATGGCATACCTAGTTTTTGTTAAAATAAATAAAATATCTCAAATAAAAGCAACTTATTACTCCTTTACACAACTCATTATATATACTGTTATAAACAAACAAACTTGACGTGCAATAGCGGCTAAAATGTCCTACGTGAACGAATGATTTTTGACCTGATTTTGAATAAAAAAAACATGTCAATTTTTTTATTGACATATTTTGACTCGTTCCAAAGTATGTCAAAATACTGCTTCTGAAAATAAAGTTTTTAACACTATATGTATACACAACATTTTATATGTACAGATCACAACTAAATAATTACAAATATTGGAAAATGGACGTTAAGTCTTTTACTTTAAAGTTGAATTTCCTATGAGGGTGCTTTTATATTGTTGAAATAAATAAATAATATTTTACAGTACGACGCTACCATCAGCGGTGGCTTCGGAGGCGGTGGCGAATATGTCGTACAAACTGGTTTTGGATGGACCAATGCAGTCATTATGGCCATGTTGAATAAATTTGGAGGTAAGCTATTGTGAACCCTATACAAATGCACTAAGGTTGAAGTTTACTAACTCTAAAATTATGGTGACAAGATAAAAGTCACTCATTGTAATAGTTTTAATTGGTATTAATATGAGAATAACCAGGGACTATTCGCACAACGCCATCTAGTTTCAGACTAACCAGAGTTGTACCGTATGTACAAGAAACTGATGGAAATTTTTTAATACATTTTGCTGTTTTTTTTTTTAACACAAATTAACAAATTTAGTAATATGACATAATCCATAAGGCTCATTCGACTAATTTATTATTATTATTCTTTATGCACGAAATCGAGAAAATGCTTTAAAATAGAGGAATAAATTTTAGGGTAAATATTACTAAATATTTACTATTTTGTGTGTGACACTTCTGCAAGGTGTTAGATCGTATTTTGGGCACATCCTTACACAATTTAACTTTCTTGAATCACTATAAACTAATATTACATTGATGCTTTACGCCAGGGAATCGTTTGAGGATCCTCGTACAAATTACAAGCTTCCATTTTTGACCGTTGATACGAGGATTTCTCTTACAAGTATTCGAGACCTACGAAAACCGGTCGAAATACTGTACGGGGTAAGACAGCCTTTAGTTATTACTAGCTGTACACGCGACTTTGTCCGCGTGGTATGTACTTTATTTTATCTAAAAAAAAAGATTTTGTCTAAAATAAAGATAGCCTAAGTTACTCCTTATTACATCAGCTACCTGCCAATAAAAGTCCCATCAAAATCGGTCCAGCCATTTCAGAGATTAGCCGGAACAAACAGACAGACAAAAATTGTAAAAAGTGATATTTTGGTGTATGTACCGTATTTATATTCATATGCATGTAGTAAAAAATGGTTATATTACAAACAGACACTCCAATTTTATTTATATGTATAGATATATGAGATTTTGTCAGAATTTTTTTACAACAATGAATGTAACATTTTAATATCTTAAGGTTGGCAACACTGCTTTAATTCCCGCCAATTCTACAGCAAGGGAGTGCCACACATAAAGTTGATAAATTATATTATAATTACTCGATTGAAACTAAAGAATGAAATAATAATCACATGTTTTCATTCATTCATTGGGTTCGCTCACCGTGGCAGTTGGTCGACCTAGTAAGAATGGTATGTCATTCATATATTCATTCATTAAAATAAAAATTTATGTGTTGTATTTTTTATTATTAATTGTTGGTTAATATTATTTTATGTATTTTTATTATTATACTTCTGTTTATAATAATATTGCATGCTAAAATTGGGGTAGTTTTTTTTACTTCTTTTGGCTCCGGCGATATATGTTGCTATTAATCGTCATTTGAGTAGTTACAATTATAAGTTATGTTTTGTGAGTTACTCGTAAAAGATATACATATATGTCACTTAGTGCTAAACAGAATTAACTAAAAAATTACAAACTTTGGAAAATGCACTCTAAAGTTTTATCTCTAAAATATAATTACAATAATTAGATTTGTTCAGTAAATGCGTTGTAGTAGGTGTGTGGTATATATGTCAATTATTATATAATGAAAATATATGACAAAATAACCAGAACATTCTACATACTTATTGATTATTTACTGTAATTATTATTGTTTACAACAGACAGTAATGAATTGGATAAACCCAAAAAAAATGGAAACTTATTTTTTTAAACTTTCATACAAACTGCGCGAACACGTGATCCATTTGTTTATTTATTTATTTTTATTTATTTAATAAATGTTTATATTTTAAAACTATTTTTACTACTTAAACTATACAATGATAAAAAGATTCTTATTTTATTTATTATGGAAGGCAAGGCTTCTGTGTATACGTCAGCATTTTGGACCTTACCTAAAAATAAATTTAATAATTGCAATGAGAGCATTGCAATTATTAAATTTGGGAGAATTGTTAGCGTGGCTAGTGCGTACCGACGCGGTTGCAAACAGACGGACAGGTGACACTTCTCACGTAATTGGGTGGAATATTGAATACTATCCGTTCTACAACTGCGGGATTGTCTATTTGGTTGCACAGCAGCAAACAGTAATGGACAGAGAGTATTAGTTTTATTAGTATAAAAGTTCAAAAATTATTTTTCCTAATTCACCTTTTCATGAGTAATCTACTAGAATTTCAGTTTAGTATAGCTTTTACAACTAACTCTGGGGATGTAGTAGATAAGTTTGTTATATTTACTGTAGTCATTATATGTATATACATATACATAAATATATATATATATATATATACAATAATATATGTATAATAAATTACTTAAATTTTATTTTATAATAATTTTAATGTTTTTTTTTCAGCACTTACTAATTGGTTTTTCTTTTTTATTTAGTTTTTTTTTATATTATATAGTAGATAATATGTCTATTGTATAATAATTGCATGCGTTTGGTGGGCACAGACTAATGACGCGGGCTTGGTATCTTTATCTTTAATCTATGGTTAACGGTTTTTTTTTATTTTGCCTTTTTTTACTCATCTTATTTTTTTTATTTGATAATGAGCTTATTAATTTACTTTAAAGTTGAATTCTTGCAGACCTTAAGATGATTTCTTTTATTTTTTTTTTTATTATTTAGAAGTTTGTAAGTTGTACTTTTATTTTTTCTTTCTTGAAATTATTTTCTGTTCAATAAATATAAATTTATCAAAAATTATGATCCACGTTATTATAATGTTTATTTATCAATTTAATTATTACAAATTGACATGAACTATGTAGAATAAAAAAAAGTAAAGTACGATTCCAAAAACATCTTTATGAATTTAATATTCTCATATAACTTTCATGCATTGCTCTATATTACAATTATTAACAACTGTATAGGAGCTAAAGGTAACTTAAATGTAATTTTAATTAAATAACAAATCGGACTAATATAAAATACTAAAATGCATGACTGTGGTTACTTTGTTAAACACATGGAATTATATTTAAAAGGTTCTTGGTTAAATATTTTAGTTATTTATTCTTTAAAAACTAAGTATTGTATGATAAAAGTATCAGTCGAATTTCTTAATATACACTAAACTATCATAATCATTTATATAAATGTTTGAGGCATACGAGAATCGATCCTGCGACCATTAGGAGAGCGGAGAACCTCTCAGATCAAATATCGATCCGATCGATACCCCGTCCAATTGAAATGGAAATCGAAATTACGACAGCCTTAACTGAGGTTCGAACCTCGTATCCGTCAGGCAGGAGTTGGCCTTCAGCCGCTCCAAAAGTCCTTTCGCGGGTTTGGAGTGCCACCTGCACTCGCCCTTTATCGTTCATCTAGACCAGCTGCGACCAACAGTATTAGAATAAAAACAAATACCAACAAACTTGCGCAGCTTGGCAAGTCATTGTATAAAAATAATGTACTATCAAACCTATCTATACTAAATAAATGAGATAAAAAATAAAATCAAATCTTATACAAAGATACAAAGCCCGAATCACTAGAAGTGCCCACTGGGAGCGCACGGCGCTGACCAGTGATGGCATTTTGACAGATAAGTTGTCAGCAGAGGACGAGTTTCCCGGTAACGGCGCCATCTACGGCGCCCACGTGGGTGCCAGCGGGGTTGCCACTGCTGTTCTCGTTGTTATTGCGTCGCTGGCAACCGGAGCGTTAGGGTGAGGTGAGTTGAAAATTGAATACTATATTTTTTAATTTTTCTTTTTTATTCATCTGTGCATAGACATACATACAATATGAAGTTACAATAATTATCCCTTGCAAAAAGTTCAAGTATATAGTGTTGACTTGCTTACTGGTAGCCTCAGCATGCGTAGATGTTTTCAAAAGTTTTGTATATATAAGAATCTTGATTTTATTTAGAGATCTTAGAATAATATGATAAGTATATAAGCGCGTTATAGTTTTTTTTTTATTGATTATAATCGAATGGTGCTCCCCTCTGCGCTAACGGTTTACGCTGGCGGGATACCAGTAGAGGGAAATAAAATGAGCATAAGTCAGGTCAGTTTACCACGATGGTTATCAAGGAGAACCGCGTGGAGGTCAACTTAGTGGTACATTGCTAGCTGTATGGTTATTAGTCCACATTACTAACAATCACCTTATTATTATTTACATATAATTTTTAAATATTACATTAATAAATTTTATTAAATTAACATTATTTTTGTTACAGATATCAATTTTATTTGGATTTATCTGCTGATACCAGATGTATTGAGGCCCATTAAAGTAAGACCATTCCATTTATTTTTATTCTTTAGTTAAATAATATAGAGTACAAAATAGTATGATTTATGTCCTGTAACATTCGTTTGTATATTTGTTATACCTTAGTGTTTATTTTAAAAGGATTTTTTATATTAATAAATAAATCTAGATTTATTTTGTTCGTACCTAGTACATTTTTTAATTAATTGCTTGTTTTTTTCTACTAATAATTTAATTACTTAATGTTTCCTAGCCCAGTGCATATGTAATCTAAATATTTATTTTCTTTGTTTTAATTAATTAAATACGAAGTTATAGGGTAAGATATAATTTTGCGCTATAGATATTAAAATAGTTGTTGTTTCTATTAAAAAGTATAAAATATTAATTACTATTAGTACCTACTTTATTTTTTATTCTAATTATATTTTTTTTTATTCTAGAACTTTTTTAAGAATGTAAGAATTTGTGTTAGTAGTATTGTATAATGATATTTTTATTATAATAAAAGTTTACTCATTTATTATTTCTCTTTTGATATATTCTTGGTTTTTAACTGTTTTGTCTTTTCTTTTAATAAATTAATTACTAACGATCTATTAAACTGAAAACTAACATTAATAATATAAATGAAATTAATTATCTTAGAAATAAATTTATCTTTTTTAACACATTGAACAATCTTATTTCTCACATAGGGACCGGCATTTTTTTTATTGTTAATTACGTATATTATTTTTTGACTATGTTTTTAATGTATAATAATTTAAAGTAGACATTATTTAACCCCTAAATTTATTTTAATTAAAGTGATCACTCCCAACGTGTAAATTTAATTTCGTTGTGGAGTGGCCCACCGGTGGGCATGCGATCTTTAACGTGTTCACTGTGAAATAAATTTTGTTGATTGTGTTTTAATTTGTAACAATGAGCATGGGCGTCAGCCATGGCTGATCAGGCTGGGTCTAAAATATTATGTAACTAGCAAACTATACCTGCCTTCTAACCATGATTAATAATAATCTCAGAACAATTTGCACAGATATCTTATTAATTTTATCATATATACGCCGTGGGACAGAATGCTATTAGTTCCATTTATATTATATACTACAGGTTCCCGCAGTTTCGCCCACAAGAAATTTATAGCCTATGTGTTACTCCGATGTATAAGCTATATTACTGTAAAGTTTTATCAAAATCCATTCAGTAATCTTTTCGTAAAAGAGTAACAAACATCCATCCATACTCACAAACTTTCGCATTTATAATATTAGTAAGATATTTTATATATAATATATATATCTTTAAAGTAAACACTGACTTGGGCATGAATTTTTTGCCTCTTCAAATGGAAATGCATTTGGAATACCCACTTCACATGTATGACATATGTTTGTATAAGCCTTGTTGTATGTCTAAAAAATAAGTTTTGAATAAATATTTGTATGACTAACGTAAAGTGATATGATGTTTACTATCTATTATCATGAAGTAAATATATGATTACTTGTGACGATTATTACTTGTGACGAGTAGTCTGTATATCTTATATATAAAGTTCTCGTGTCAAAATGTTAGTTACCATACTCTTCCGGAAGGATTGACAGATTTTTATGAAATTTCATATGCATATTCAGTAGGACTGATAATCGGCTACTATCTATTTTTCGTACCACCAAGTGTTAAGGGTTGTCCACCTCTAACATTTATTTTTTATTCTCTTCTAAATTTTTTTTATAATGTGTTATTAAAAAATACATACAACCCTAAATTTTTGCTTCCAGCAACAACCCCTATTTTTTAATAGCAATATTAGTATTTAATTTATATGGCAATACAACGTTAGCTGGGTCAGCTAGTTATTTATAAGCTCCCGATACTTAGACGCCGTAATAATCTTCAAATATCCCGTTAATATATATGTACAACTATATTCTGTATGTTGTTATCAAGCTATTATTCTACTTACTTCAATGAACTCATATCTTCGTATACAATGATTGTTGTTCTTAACTGCACTAATCTTAACTCTCGTAAACAAGCAGGATATAATTTTCAACATTTCTTGACATTGAGTTATTCTTGTCTATCTTAGAGAAGACGATAAATTCGCTGTTGAACAAGCGATTGCGGTTTTTTTTTATGGATGGTAATGGAATGGTGCACCCGCCTGCGCTAACGGTTTACGCTGGCGGGGCACCAGTGGAGGATGATAAGATGCACATGAGGTCAGGTTAGTTAGCCCATCGTGACAACCTCACCACGAACTTATCACGATGGTTTCCAGGGGGAACCGCGTGGAGGTCAACCTGACATGGTACATTGCTAGTAATGGGGTCATGAGTCCACATTACTAACAATCTCCTTTCCCCCCAAGCGATTGCGGTTATAGTGCCACACTTACTCAATTACCCGTTAAATCGTCATGTTGATAAAAATAAGATGTTAACATGTAATGTTCAGGTTTGGGTATAAAGATATTGTACAAATATACAGGGAATAAAAAAAATAGTTTGGGATAGACAGTTTTATTTAATAAGAAATATAACAATGAAATGCATTTTGTGTACAAGATTTTTTCTCTTTGTTAAATCTGATTCACAACACTAAGTTCCGTCATAACTTCTAAATGAATTACATTAATTATTTAAACTACTTCAAACTAAGTATTAACTAAGTTTATTGCTAGTTATAGTTAGTATGTCAAAAAATGTCTTATATGAATATATAAAATATATAGCTTTGACTTTGTATATTAACACTAAAGGATTAATACAGTAGTTATTAATGGAACCTTTTACTATTCTCATATCTTACTTTTAATGTTAGTGACTTAAAAACAATTAAGGTTTTTTAGTAATAAACCTGCTAGTCAGAACCGTCTTTTTATCTGGATAATAATGTCGTTCTTTTATTTTAGCGATTAGCCCATTATTTGTTAAGCACTATTCTTATTGCGTAATGAAGACTCAGTATCTAAATTAATACGAAGAGAAAATAAATTATTTATTGGTAGTTTTTGTTCATACTCATTATGTAGGAAATACTTAATTGATTACATCGTTAACAATTATTTTATTTATTAATTTTATAAACGCGAAAGTTTGTGAGTGTTAATAGATAGATGTTTGTTACTCTTTTACGTATAAACTACTGAACGGATTTTGATGAAACCTACAGTGATATAGCTTATACATCAAAATAACAAATACTATTCGTGCGGGTGAAACCACGGACACAGCTAGTAATAAACTACTACTCTAGCTAGTAATAAAAGTTACTCATACATTAGGGAGTAACATGGGCTGTATTTTATTATGAATAAAAAAAATACATACAGTAATTGTACCCATTCGTAAACCTAAGAAGTTTGTATGCAGCGTCTTCTCTAGTAAGTTTTTACGTATTACCTCCATGTTCTCTTGCAGTCATTCTGGATTCCGTAACCGGATAAATTCGGTGTTAACCAGTGCGAACGGAACAATATAATGGTAAATTGTCCACCATCCGGCCGTACCACACGCTATTTTTAAACTCGTACCTTACTCGTTACCTTAACATTATGTACAGTTTGACTGACAAACCAAATTATTTAGGATATTTTTTTTATTGGGCTATTGTCAGATGCTAAGACCTGTAACACTGCTACCTGCACAGATCTATTGTTTTTTCCCTTTTTCAAAGTTCGCTACCTAGATCCGCGAGGGAGGGATTATGAGGATAAACCTTACTTATTATGAAAAAATGTTTTAAACCATGAGTATGGTTCACCCGCCTATGTTAACTGTATATGTTGAATGAAGAATAGTCGCCATTACTGTCAATGTTAGATCGACCTCTACGCGGTCACCTCAGGAAGTCATCCTTGTAAATTCGCCATCATGGGCTAACTGACCTGACTTCATATTCAAACCGATAGCGCGGGTGAGTCCATTCCACTATCATCTAAATAAAACCTTCAGAATTCTAATATAATTTCAACTGATTTTTAGAGGTGTACACCTGACTTTGTCTACATATTTTGTGTTGCTGACTTACTTGCCACATACTGTTATGGTTTTGTATTTTCCATTAAAAATTTTATTATATATTTTTGTATGCAATACTTGTTAGTATCTAATAAATATTCTAACAGACAACAACATTCTGAAATACCAAATAGCGTATGTCCGTCCTCGTAATAATATCTATGATCACTTCAAATTTCATTGAGATCCATTCTGACATTTGGTCGTTCTCGAGATTGCACTCTGCATATAAACATATATGTATATATATCCTCAGGGTTCGTATTCAACTACTATATTACATTCTCTTAGCCTTGCTCTGTAAAGCAAATTGATTAATAATTTCTAGGTAAATAACCTTTAATCCACTATTATCACGTCTTAATCTACAGAAACAATTACCAAACTACCAATTTATATAATCCTTTTTCAAT